GCATAGTAAGCTCAGTATAATACTAAATTTTAAGTTTGCTCTTCTTGTTCGGAGTTGTTTGTTTTGCGTGCTTCTTTCTTCCTTTCTACGTTTAAAATTATACAGTATATATATCATGTTAATTATGTTTTTATCTTATTAAGATTCAAGTTATTATTTGTTTACTGTATTTGTCCGGATATGGTTTAGCTAGAGATTGGAATAGAGGAAAAAAACAAATGGCCTTGCCGACAATAAAACTTATCTTGGAAACAAAACAGGATATTTTTCTTTTCTTCTAACTAGTACTAACCAAATGTTATATTTTTTTTCTCCAAATGTTGGAAACAAAACAGGATATTTTTCTCTTCTAACTAGTACTACTAACCAAATGTTTTTATTTTATTTCTCAGTTAAACTTCTCCAATAAACTCTTACCATTATTCTCAGACTCTAAACCATATCCATTCGACTAAAAATATTTCGACAACAAATCATGCATGATAGACCATGATTCCTTTTTGATGATACATAAGAAATTCACAAGTCGAGAATCAACTTAAATTAATTGAAGAGATTTTCATTACTGAAAATATATCTTTTTATTAATCAACTCAACTCGAAATCAGTTCAAATTTTAGTTATAGAAATCCTACTAAACTCAGAAAATTAAGATTTTTTTTTTTATCTAACCGTTTTACGCGGGAATTCGTATAGTAAAAGAACGAAAAAATACAATATGAAAAAACTATATGTTTACACTAAATAATATAACTTTTTATTTCGTATTTATTTTTTTTAACCGTTTAACGCGGGAACTCGTCTAGTAAAACACCCTAAAAAAACCAAAATATAAACATGAAAAAAAAATCCTTCAAAATTAGAAACAAGGCAAAACCAAGACTGAGTTGACAAGAAAGGATTAAATCACCGACGGTCGTTGAATTTTTCCGGCGACAATTAAACCACTTTTATAAGTTCTAATGCAAAGATAATTTTTAAGTTTAATTAAGGACATTTCAAAAAAAAAAAAAAAATTAAGGACATTTAATAATCAAAATTATAAAACCCCCTTCATCACTTTACTTCTCCCTCTTACGTCTCTTTCAATT